CACTTGGTCATGGTGTAGAATTCTTTTTATATATTGGTGAATTCTATTTGCTAATATTTTATTAAGGATTTTTGTATCTATATTCATGAGGACTATTGGTATGTAGTTTTATTTTTTTATATCATCTGGTTTTGATATCATAGTAATACTAGCTCATAAACATAACTGAAAACTATTTTCTCCTCTTCTCTTTTTTAGAAGAGATTATGTAAAATCAATGTTGATTATTCTTTAAAAGTTTATAGAAACTACCAGTGAAACCATCTAGGCCTGAAGATGTCCATTTTGGGGAATTTTAAAATTATGAATTCAATTTCCTAGTTATAGGACTATTCAGATTATCTATTTCCCATTGGATATTTCTTTTTGTTCTATTTTGAAGTTCATTGATTCTTTCCTTGGCAACCTCATTCTGCTCCTGAGCTTATCCATTGAGTTTTAAAATTGCAATTATTGTATTTTCACTTCTAAAAATTCCCATTTGGTTCTTCTTTATATCTTTTATTTCTTTGTTGATACTTTCTATTTTTTTCATTTGTTTCAAGCATGTTTTCAATTGCTCATTGAAGCACTTTTGTCATGGCTACCTGAAAATCTTTGTCAGACAATGCTAACATTTCCATCATCTTAATGTTGGCATCCATTGATTGTCTTTTTTCCATTCAGTTTGAGAGCTTCCTGCTTCTTGGTAAAAGTAATTTTCTGTTGAAACTTGGACTTTCTGGTTATTATGTTATGAGGCTCCTGGTCTTACTTAAACCTTCTATTTTAGCTCGCTTCCTCTGACACTACTCCAAAGTGCAAGGGATGGGGGTGCCATCTCATTATTGCAAGGTGGGATGAGAAATCCAGGTTCCCTATGTGGCTTCCATTGACATCTGAGGAAGGGACTCCTCATTACAGGTGGGTGGTTATGAAAGTCCTAACTCTCAACAAGGCCTTCTGTGACCCCATCCAGCAGGTAGGGGAGGGGCACCTTATTCCTGCCAGGTGGGGGTGGAGGTCCAGTCTCCTCACTGGGTCTTTGCTGAAATGGGTGGGGCTGGGGCCATGGGTTTTTTTGTGGTGCTTGGCTGGAGTAGAGATATTATTGGCTAAAAAGTTTTCTGTCTTACTAGGCTGTTCCTTTCCTGGTTCCTTGGCTACACAGAGCCGGCTTTTGTTAGGCTTTTCTGATCTGTACCTGTTGGCATATCTGGGTTGCCAGCTTCTTCAGCTCCTACTTTGGGATACAAGAGGCAAAAAGAAAACTCAGAGAACTCAAGACCGTGTCATTTCTTGGGTCCCAAGGTCCCAGCCTGTCATTTTCTCTCCATCTTCCAGAGTGTCCTTATATTCTTATATAATGTCCAGGGTTTTTAGTTATATTTAGTAGAAAGAATAGAGGAAAAGTAAATCTATTTCATCTTCCGAGAAGCAGAAGTCCTTGTTTTGCTTCTGGGAAGCCTTTAATAGTTACATTTTATCAACATTCATTGCTACCAAAAGCAGCCTGTTCTTTCCATTCTCTTTTCTAACTACTTGGCCTATCTACTTTGGTCATTCAGAGATACTGGAAATAAACTCAAACTAACTGACTTCATTAGAAGAGGTGATGGGAAAGATTTTGAAGCGTTGTGTTCAATACTCTTATTTAAAGAAATATGGAGGTATCTGCACATAGCTACAGTATCAAAGTGGCTGATCATATATAATTTTATCAACATCCTCTCTAAAACGATAGAGCAGAACATTCTGGATTCAAGATGAATAAATATCTCACCTTCACTGTCACAGCATTCTAGGATGGAAGGGTCTTCCCGAATCACCGTGGTCAGAGCATTGACATCTCCATTAGATGCTGCCTGATAAACCATGGTCAGGTCGACTTCCTCAGATGAGTCACCTTTGTGC